TGTGTTGTCTCTGTTACTTTAAACCACACACCTGCACCAACAGCCGGGTGCACTGCTTTAATGCTCAACTCTTTTTCAGTCTGAACTCATGCTAAGGCAAATAATACAAGCTACTATGCTATCAGTGGCTTCCCCGTTGTTTAGTTCAGGGACTGCTGTTGCAACTAGGGGAGCAATTAAACTGACTGCCTTTCATCATAATGAGGCAATAACCTTTTTTTTCTCCCATCTCCAGTCTTTGGAGAATCTTTTCATGGCTGCATAACATGTATGTGAATTAAAAGTTTTGCATGAATAAAGTAAACTCATGATTTTAACTCTGTCACTTCAGTGTCATCACCAGTGCCAAAGTCCCAAGTGTGAAGCTAATGACTGAATGAGAGGCAGTCTGGAGCCAGCCTGGCATACAATAACACTTCCTCTGGCATCCAAACATGTTTCGTTTTTATTCTAATATGAAAAGAATATTCCTGGCCACAAACTTAGCCTGCAGCCAGTGAATTTACATTCCTAAATTTAATGCTTCTCACGTAAACATAGTGGAAATACTGCTAACCCACCCAAGCCCTACGCTTGATCTTTATCCAAAAAAACCTCCTCGAATTAGTCAGCAACAGCTCCACACTTCACTGTGTCCACATCGCTGATTGAACAGACTGGAATAACTCACATAAAACTGACATGTAACAAAAACATTTGACGTAAGCAAAGGTAGACATACAGTCAGAGCTATATGCTGTTTAATGAGCATTACAGCGTTGTCCTCATTCTGGGACCTCCACAGCAGACATGGTTAATGGAAAAAAAGAAATACATTAACTAAAAGTTCTTGACTTTGTTAGTGTGCAGCTTGTTTCACATGTAAGGAAACTCCCGACGCTGGCGTGGCAGCTTCATGGGTTGCTGCAGAAAGATGTTAACCACACAGAGAAACCTCAGTCATGTAGATGTAGCTGTAAATATAAAAGCAGAGAAACTCACATTGTTGATCTTGAGCTTGCTCTTGTCTTGTTTCTGCAGGTGTCCTGACAGGTGATAGAGCACAGCTCTGCTGCGGCGCCGATTGGCGTTGAAGCCCGGAGGGCGAGTCACCTGATGCACCTCCAGACCCGTCTCTTCATCTGTGGAGGAGACAGAAACATGCTGAGCTTTGATGCAAGAAACGAGAGGAATTTAAACCAGTTTCTGTCTCATCCGCTGCATGCCAACTAAAGCACACACATAGCTCAGAAGTAATGCTTTGACTGCTATCTTTTTATTTGTACGTGTAAGGCTGTGAAAACATAACATAAAGTAAAGAGGTCTGTTTAGGACATGCTCACAGAG